GCCTTACTATACATGGTCGTTTTTTTCGGTTAAAAACGCCTTCCTATACATGGTCGTTTTTTTCAGCTAAAAACGCCTTACTATACATGGTCGTTTTTTTCGGTTAAAAACGCCTTCCTATACATGGTCGTTTTTTTCAGCTAAAAACGCCTTACTATACATGGTCGTTTTTTTTTGGCTAAAAACGCCTTACTGCGCATGGTCGTTTTTTTTTTTGTCGAAAAATGCCTGACTATCAGGGGTGTATAACATACGGCCGGAACCGGCCCGCAAGGAGGTTTGATCAGGCCCGCAAGATAATTTAAAAGTGAAAAAATGCACAAAAGACACGGAATGAATATTTTTAATAGGGTGCAATTTGTGGAATATCTGCTAGGGGAGACACTGTTTTGAATGCAAATTCAAAATCAAGCAAGGAATAGCTTATGTTTGTTTTGTTCACTGCTGCTGTTGCAGTTAATACTCACTATTTTTGTCATGATGCAGAATGTTTGATTGTTGTTGGTTGAAGTCTAATTTTGTTGCTTGTTTATTGTTTGGAGCCTTTTTAATGTTCAATAAAATAAGTAAAAAGCCATTTCTTTGCTTGATAATTGTTGCTATTTGCAGTCAGTAGCGTGTAATATTTAGTTCACCAAGTCATTTATCAAAACGTATGCTAAATTTGTCATAAATATTGAAAAGAAAAGCTAAAGTTAAAAGAGCCGTTTGAGAGGCAAAAAGAGCCGGCTCTTTTCACTGTAAAAGAGCCGTTTGAGAGCCAAAAAGAGCCGATCCAAATGAACCGGATCACCGAAAAGAGCCGAAAACCCCATCACTCGTTTGTTGCAATGATTTGTAGACTGGTGGTTTCCCACTTTGCCCGTGTTGTTGTTACACAATAAGACCAGCAGAGGGTGGTGGTGTACTTCAGACATGTCATCCATGCAGACAGTATGGCACGCTTAGGTTCAAGAGGCCGTACATAACCTTGTGGTTGTTACACTGCATCAGGTACTTGTTCAGTACAAATGCAATAGAAATGTTTTTTTTTCCACTTTAGAGTTGATGCTCATTTATTATCACAACTTGGGTTTATATAGCACCTTTCATTTAATCCACGGACATATGGGAGGCATGTCGTAGCGTGATTCACAAGTGATAAATGGGTGCTGTGAGTGTAGCTTAAGTAGGCGCATTGGTGATGCAAGAGGAACACAGGTGGTGCACAGGTGGCAGCCAGAGGGATATGCAAAAGGTGTGGGAAGCATGTTGGTGCTGACGACAAAAAATGTTGAAAGTGACAGATGGGTGACATGCACCGAAACGTGTGGCAGGCAGCGCAGTGTGGCATGGCCGCATGTTTGGTGTCGTGGCCAACGGATGATACAGGTGGCATCCGTTGGCCACACGGGCGGCGAAAGACCAACTTGTGCGGCAGAGGTGACAATGCAAATGTGGAAAAGGGACGAAATAAACGCTAAGGTGGCATTCGGTGCCTTATGACGGACGCGGGTGACACTTGAGTGCATGAAGTGATGTGCCACAGCTGTTACTCAAGACGGGTGACATTCATTTACATTAGCCATGCATAGCGAGCCGTTGGAACAGTTCGAAGTGGGTGGAGGGAGACTCGGCTGACAACGTGCAACGAGACAGCTGGGTGGCACCAGACACAAATGTGCATTGGTGGGTGGCGAGCAGAGAGCACAGTGACATACAAGTGGCAGGCGGCTAGTACTACTTTGGTACCGTGATGTATAGCAGGCTCATAACAGGCCACATTACGATTAGGGATATAACTTAATCCAAATGTCATTATATCATATGAACCTCACAATGTTAACTATCACGAGATTGGTGATTAAAAAAAAAAAAAGAAGCGAATGACAGACCGGAGACAAAGGTGCCAGAATGGACGTCCATCCGTCTCAAACAGCTGAAGCCGCTTGTGGCCGCCCACAGACACGATGGCCATTCAATTGAACAGTTCAGTCAGCTGTGGGTGGTTTGCTTAACATTCCGTATTTTGTAATTACGCTGGTGGTCGAAACAGGATATGAGTGAAAGGGGGGTGGGGGTGAGGGGGGGCTTTGAATATTTTAGCGTTGATCCTCACAATTTGCTGTAGTAGTGGATTGTGCGGAGTTGTGCAGGCAGATATTACAGCAGGGACATTTACATTTTACACCCCCACACGCCTCATTTAGTGTGTGTGTGTGAATTCTCCCCTCATTTGCAAGTGAAGCTGCTAGAAAGAGTCATGAGAATAAAGAGATTTTAATTACGACATACAGTGAACGACTGTTCATGGAGGTTAACATGACAAATGGCCAAAATATGCGAGTAGGCTAATTCCCGCACCTCTGCCCCAAATTTGGTTTTTCACCATTGCCCATATTAATAGTTTACTTTGACTTTTAAGTTGATTCTTTTTTTCCTCAAACCAAGCTGGTACCTAATTTTTTAAAATTCCCTTGAATGGCAAGTCTTCGATTGGAGAGATACACGCCCTGTCAGAATTGGCCTTGTATATTTCTGATTATAATCTGACATGTCTCAAATGATACATTCATTGTGTATGTGAAGGGTGGTAAAATAGCTTGATTGATTTATAAAACTCAATATTTGGGCAAAAAAGCAAGAATGTGTTGATTTCATCAGATTTACTCATTAAACTTGTACTGGTTCGGTTGGGCCAGTGTCTAAGGTACCGTATTTTCCGTACGATAAGCTTCGGAGTATAAGGCGCACCCTCAATAAATGGCCGAAAAAGCAAGAATGTGTTGATTTTATCAGATTTACTCATTAAACTTGTACTGGTCCGGTTGGGCCAGTGCTTAAAGTACCGTATTTTCCGTACGATAAGGCGCTTCGGAGTATAAGGCGCACCCTCAATAAATGGCCTATTTTAAAACTACATGGCGGACCGCTTTATTAGAAGCTGCAATAGTGGGTGCAGTTGCGTTATGCATCCACTAGATGGAGTTACACTAAGGGAACACAATACAGCTTTATTTATATCGAGCTTTCGTTGCAGGTGTCACAAAGCGCTTTATAGAACATTTAGAATACTACGTCCAAGAAATCAGAATATCGATCCATATCGAAGGCGCATCGGATTATAGGGCGGACTGTCAGCTTTTGAGAAAATGGAATGCTTTTAGGGTTTAGTGTAATTGCTGGTCTTGTTGTTGTGTTTATGTGTTGGCTGTGCGCCTTTGGGGGTAATGGCCCAGACTTCATTGCTTCAATTTCTAACATCCTATCATTGTGAAGTTTATTATTATAATTTTTTGTTGTCGTTTGTTTCTCTGCTGGCTTGTCAAAATATTGCTTGATGACAAACTGGTCCGTAGCATAAAAAAGGTCGAGCTGCACTGATCGATGATTCTCTGGAACATTAATGACAGCACAGTCGAGATTTCTTTGAGTGTTTGCCGCGCATATGACCTCTAAACGGGAAGCGTTAGCCTCACACATGCAGTAGATATGAGCCAGCTTAGTGCTATTGATCCCGGCTCCTTGAGGAGACATTAGGTTTGTGGTAATCAATAGCTCTTCTTCAGGTGTCGTTCCCGTGCAATTCCTCCTGCTTAGAACGAGATTTAAAAAGCTTAAAAAAAAAAATCCAATCTAGCGGAAGCAGGCGAGAGAGAAAATGGAAGAGCTCGATGTCCTTGAACTTCCACACTGGGCAGAAAATGAAATTAAAAGACAGATGGTGCCTAACGCCAGGAAGGTTAATGCTCTCGAGCTTCTTTTAAACAGAGATCATGCAACCATCCTGAAACGTATCGACATGCAGTATGTCTTTTACACGGAACCCAGCAAAGGCAACGACTTGCGATTTGAGGTGATACTTGACATACGGGTGCCCTCATTGTGAGTTTTTCAAGCCTTTGCTTCATTGCTATGCAACGGACTCCCGCTCTTCAGAGTGGATCGTGACCAGCCTGGCCTGCAAATAGCAAAAATTTGCGTATATTAAAAATGATTTACTAAAAGAAAAAAAAAAAAGGCTACTTCCCGTAAGTGTACCGCCCTCCCAAAAAAACAGGGATTAGCCTAGCCCCCCAAAAGTAACATTATTGAAATATTTTTTGAACCCACACGAGTATGTGGTTGTATAAAATCCGTAGCACGCAATCCACCCACAAATGCGAAAGTCATTACACTTCCTAAAACAAGTCATTTCAATGCGGCTAATTTGATATTGAATGACGAGCTTCCTCAAGGAACAAATTCACCTCATAAGTCAAGGTACCACGGTGTGTGTGTGTGTGTGTGTGTGTGTGTGTGTGTGTGTGTATTTTTTTCGTCTAAATGCTTGCTTCTTCTTCCATAGCAAGAGTTTACTCATTCTGTCTTTTTCTGGCCGCGATGTCAGGTTGATGGATGTCAGGTCAGCGCAGTGACGGAGGGGGAAAAAAAAAAAAAAAAAGAAAAAAAAAGGGAAAGACCGAGATTGTAACCTCGCCCAAGTCGGCCGATGCTGCCAACAGACGGAACGACAGATGGACAAACCCACCAACGCTGGCTCCGACGACCTCCTTGGATTGCGTGTTGGGCAGCTTTTTGGATGAGCATGTTTGTTGTTCTTTGAGGGGTCGCCCGGGGCCAAGGTTACCCGAGTAACCGATAAGGTTGCAGGTCTAGACAGTCAATGAAGATGTATTGTAAAGTCGCTACCTGTTTTGCCCGTCTCACTATTCTATGGGGAAAAGTCCCATCATGGAGGAGGCACGAATATTTATTTGGTCAAAATACACAAAGGATAAACAATTACAGATCGCTTGTCACACTGGTTGTAAACCAATTCACTTTGGGGCGTGTCCAGCTGTCCAATTGAATTACTCGTGAGTAACAAACTAACCAACTCGCCTCTCAGCCAAAGAATGTAACCAATGGACTAAAATTGCTAATTACCTGAATAACGAATCAGCTGAGTGCTCTCCTTCGTCTACCCACGTATCCCGGTCGTTAGGTTGGTGAACTGAATCGGCGGTCGTCAGGGAGTCATTTTTTTTTTTTAAATCGTTATTTTTGGGTAGTTTGGTTGGTTAGTCAAATGGTTTGCAAGTTGGTCATCCAGTTGGCTAATTGATTGGTCGTTTTAGGTTGCCAATTAGAATGTTGGTCAGTTATGAGTTGTCAGTTCATGATCGCAATCGTTTCGAGTTCATCAGTTCGATGGTTTTGACACCACGGCTGCATGAAACATTTCAATCTTTTTGCCCACACTTAACAGTGAACAAAAGGGCAGCAAAATCATATTGAAGATGGCGTCTTCTGGGCCGGGGAGCCCGAAGTCGCCATCTTCGATGAATTTTAATGAGACCCACAAGATGGCTTCCTGTGGCGCTCCTCACAGTTGTCATGGCGTCCTCCCAGGTGACTGTGATAATGGCCATCATTTATTCCCACAACTCCTTTGAGGAGATGGCCTGGCGCTCAGCTTGACGGCGGGCCACGGGGGGGGGGCCTGGTGCCGGGCTGAGGTGGGGTTGCTCTGGGGTTGGGACTCCGCTGTCCCAGCAGGGAGGGGAGGGGCTTCGCCGCGGGAGGGTCTGGCAAGGTTATGTTTGGTTGACTCACTCGCCCACGCGGCTCAACGGGGGAACGCGATTCATGTTGGCGGTGGCGTGCTCCAACTCGGGTCAACTTGATGGTGGACCCACCGGGGAGTCCGCCGTCACTTTGGAATGCTAATACAGTACATTTGCTTTGTGCGTGGGGGTAGAAAAGCAACAAAATTAAGTCAAATGATGCTCAATAAAAGCAAAATGAAGCAAATGTGTTAAAGTCAAATAATACAAAATTAAGTAACCCGAATCCAAAACATAATAAAAATACAGAATTAAGTGAAATACATTAGTTAATTGGAAAAAGTGGAAAGCAAAATCTAATACAATTTAAATAAATGTCACTTAAAGAGATAAAGTCAAATGGTCTAAAAATAATGCAAATTAAAGCAAGCAGTATTAAATTGAGTCAACTAAAAAAAAACAAAAAAACAAAAAACAAACAGCATATTTGTGTACTCTTTCTTCTCTTCCGCTTGCTGTATTACAATCTTAGGCGATAAGTCAGTCTGTTGCTCGATTTACTGCGAGCTAGCCAGCTTCTGCTGTAGATACCTAGCTGGCTAGCTAACGAAAAATGGGCCAAATTAACTCACACTAATAAAATTGTTCACTCGGTAATTAGGTGGCGAATCAATTAGCCCATTTGTCCCAGAGTTAGCTAGCTAATTTAATTAGTCAGTTATTTCCTTGGTTGGTTGTTTTGTTGGCTCGTCCATGGGTCAGTTAGTTGAGTGGTCTGTCGCTGTGTTGTTCAGTGAAGTACTTAAGATGGTGGGCTAGTTAATTAGTTGGTTTGTCATTCAGGTAGTAACTGGGTCAGTTAGTCGATTAGTCAGTTGGTTTGTCGTTCTTTTAGTTGCTAGACGATAAGTTAATCGGTTGTTATGGCTAATTTGTGTGTTGGCAAAGTTGATTAGTTGGTCAGTTTGTTAGTCGGTTACTTGAAGGGAGAGTTGATTCAGTCGGCTGTTGATTTGTAAGTCATTTTTACTTCGTTGGTAAATTTATTCGATGGTTGGTTATTTAGTCAGTTAGGTGAGTAGTTAATAACTTAGTCGGTCATACCGTGAACCCTGGCCAATAGGGGGCTTCCATATCGTTGGGCGTTAGTTGTTCATGTGCCTTTTTCACACACAACTTCTGATTGGCTAATCTATTCTTGTCAGGTGGGTTGGCACCATCTGTTGTGCTGCCATTCACAGATTGTTGATTTTAAATGTGTGGTGTCAACACCGATTCTCTTTTTTTAAGGCCAAGAATGACAAATTGTCAACATACACAAGGGGAAAAAAAGCTACCATAGTTATTGTATGTGATCACAGCTGACATTTTATCGGCTGCCAAAAATCGGCCTGGCATGAACATTTATTGTCGCTCTTTTATCTTCTGCAAACTCAAGTGTTTCCCCAATCTGTTTGCTTCCAGTTTCCTTCTGCTGCCAAACACGCACTTTTTGTCACATTCATCGGAATTTGTCGTCACAAAAAGCTTTGTTTGCACCTGGAGGCTGATTTTTGTTGTTGTTTTGAAGAGCCACATGTCCAAATAGAAGTGTCGTGATAGTTATCCTCGCAAGTGGTTTTCAAAAGTGTGAGCACCCCTGTTTCTCACCTCCACATGATGTGAAAACCAGCCACAGCGTTACATGAGTCGGCCTCTGGGTGGCAGCGTGCATCCACCATTGATGGTCACCCACCCCACTCCACCCCACCCCATTTCCTCCGCCTGGTGCCTGGGGGTCTCGGCTCATCTGCTCTCTTGCAATGTGGCCTCCAGGATGGAGAGCCTGGCACTTGTGGTGTCCTCAGGATTGTCACAAGTGCTCTGTCAAATCAACACCCCCCCCAAGACCCCAACACCCCCAAGTGTCCCCCTGAGGCGAGCCCGCCAGCCTCCCAGGAAATGAAATGTTGGGGGTGGGGGAGAAATAGAAGACAAGCTTTTGGAACAGTCTGGGTCAAAAAAAAAAAAGTAATGCTCAATTTCAAATGGCATTCCTTTAACCCTAACAAATCGACCTGATAGTTTTACAGTAAGTTAAAAGTTAAAATAAAGCACAAACAGTGCCACAAATAGCAAAAGGAGTCAAAAATAAAAATACAAATAAAACTAAGTTAATATACTAAGAGGCTATTGAGTAGACGGTCCTGAAAACCTGGACTAACCCCCACTCACCAGTTTTTGATATGCTCATATTGATATTTATTTATATACTTTTTGTCTTCTACTTTCTCCCTTTCATAATTTTGCTGCTGTGAATTGGAAATGTCTCCATTTTGAGACAAATAAAGGTTTTCTCATCTTTTTCTTATCTTAAACACAAAATTAAGCAAACAAATGATGCAAATATGAAACCCAATAAAGCAAAAAGGTATAAAATGAAGCAAAAGTACTTAAGCAATAAACGATGCAAAATAAAACACAGTGAAGCAAGTGAATTCTAAAATTAAGCAAAAAAAAAAAAAAAAAAAAGAAAGAAAAAAATGAAGCATAAACAATGCATCTTAACAAGCAAAAATACAAAACGTCGCCGGTGGTGCGATGTTGGAGCGACACTGACACAGTTGTGTACGCTGAACGTCCGCCAATGAGCGCCCGTCTGCAGCAAAGTTGTCCCCTCGCTAATGAAGCCATTTTATTTCCAATACTTAACGAACTTTGACGAGGTCAGCTCTTCAGACGTAACCAAGATGGCGCAGCGTGTGGCGACCGCGCTCGTCACCGCATGGCGGCTCCCTGGAACTTATCGGCTCTCGCTGTGAGTTGGTTTCCATTACTTTCTGTTATGTCACAGTTTTTTTTTTCTTACAATTGATAGTTCACTTTAGCAAGCCTCAACAAAGGATGAACGGCGTATGCACACAGTGGTTAGTTTCTCTTTACATGTGAAACGTTTTTGTTTTGCTTTATTTTGGCCTGATTTCAACTTTGGCATTTCTCATGCATAATATGACATTTTTGCATTACACGAACGCACAATGCCACGCGCCATAACGGCCCTGCTAACAAAACGAGCACACCTGTTAACCAAACTAGCGCACACATATACTACAGAGTGAGAGAGTCACTACACCCCCTCCCCCCCCCCCGCCCCTCAGGTACGTATGCCGAAAATAATCCTGACTATTGACTGCAATGTGAATAGAGTTGAGTACTTTTCATTTTTAAAAAAGGGGCTGAAGACAAGCAATTTCATTTCCTCTTCCTCCTGCTGGAAGACTCCGTACCCGTTTGTTGATTACTATTATTATTTCATATTTCCGTCAACATGACGTTACATGCAGACGCTCTGCTGTGACTGATACCACCTGACCTCAATTTGCCGGCAGGCCGCCATGAATATGATTAGCAGGCCGCGCAGAAACCTGACTGAAGTGTCAGGTTGACTGACGTGACATGCAAGCGACACTTTTGTGTATCGTTATAATTGCATTCACTCATTGGACATTCCATTAGGGACAGTTGCATTTTTTTTGTCTTGGTCACGAAAGAAACAAAAAAATTTTATTTTACTATTTCTGAATGGACTGTTTGTCTTTGACTGTCCAAAGTATCTCGACGACAACATTCATATTTGATGTGCCAAATACATCAGATTGAGAGCGTGGGCCACATGCAGCCCGCGAGCCGCCAGTTGCCCATCCTAGGATGAGCAATTTGTAGAATGAATGAACGCATTGAATGATCATGGGGGGGGTTTAATGAAAAAGCAGCACAGCACCATCTGGTGGCGCATTTACCCCCTCTGCCCCGAATGCAAAATGATCACTAAATGCAAAAGTGTACATTATACCTAATGCACATTGCAGGAAAACATCTGCTGAGGCTTTCATGCCGACTTTGCTCAATCGTGTGTGTGTGTGTGTGTGT